GCACGATTAGAAGACTTTCTCTATACTTCGTATATACGAGAAATAAAAATCACTCGGCAGTAAACATATTTTAGCGTATATAAATATAACAAAAATATGATAATTATCATAAATAATTGTAATGTACATTTAAAGATTAAAGTGAACTATAACAAACACTGAAATAATAGCGTTAAGTAAGATTTGTTTTGTCCATGGAGTATAATTGAAATCACCGAAAAAAATTAAAAAGACAGAAAGATCAAATATTGGATAAAAAATGTAATTGAAACATGTTAATAAAAAGCATGTATGTAATTATAAAATGAAAAGAATAATATAAAGATTTGATTAAATTAGGCAATGATGTACTTCAATTTAAAAAAAAACTGAAAATAATAGTTTGTGCTGCAATATTTATTACATGCTTTTGTCAAATTACTAAATTATATAATAGGTGTCCCAAACTTTTTTTCTGTTATTTATAATAAACTTCGCTTCAAAATTTGAAATAAAACTGTAAAAGTAAAATTAATTCAATATATAATGGATATATAAATACATACATACATATATATATATATTCATATATATATATATATATATATATATATATATATATATATATATATATATATATATATATATATATATATATATATACATATACATATATATATATAATTATGCTATGATTTTTTCTCTTTTTAGATTTAATTACAACAACATGTAGTGATAGCAAGCTAATTTTACTATTTTAAAATATTATTGAACTTCATAGTAAAAATAAAATTATAATTGTCCAAAAATAAAACAAACAGCAAACTAAATTATATTTATTAACATAAAGTAAAGTCATAATGTTATATTTAAAATATGGGTTTACCAATACAGTTTAAGATAAGTCAATGTTATTACATCTAAATATAAGTATGACTGTGTGTGTGCTTGACTCCTGCCTTCCTTTCTGTCAGTCAGTCAGTCAGTCAGTCTGTCGTTCTTCTGTCTTTGTGTCTGTCTCTCGGTCCATATATATATATATATATATATATATATATATATATATATATATATATATATATATATATATATATATATATATATATGTATAGCTGTGTCTCAATTTGATCACATTTTTTTCTGTCATAGAAAATGTGTTACAAATTTAAAATAAAACAATAAAACATTATAATTTAAAATACATAAAAATATTCAATTATGTACACATTGATGCTATATCCATAAAATTAGTTCTCAAATTACGTTAAATTATAAATTAATTTTTTTATAATGTAAATCATTCAATTACAAAATAAAGTATTGTTACACGCCTTGGTTTGAATATTGTACACAAGTGTTTTTCTTTCAACGCAGATGCAGATTAGTTTTATATACAGGTGCTGATGTGTATTTTAAGACTGCTAATTATTGATTTACAAAAAAAAACAACCGTTTAATGTCAACTCAACTTTCCATCTCGTCAATGCCCAGAATAAACGGATCGTTTTGTAAAAGCCACTCAGCTGTTGGCCTTAACTTAGAGTCCCGCTGTAAAATCCTGTTTAAAAACTCCTTGAAGCTAACAGATAAAGATTCAGGCAGATGATATTGTAGTTGATTCCCCAAAGCAGTGTGGAAGATTATTTGGGGAGTGAGAACTGATGAATACGGAGGTTTTCCTGTCACCATCTCTACCGCAGTGCAACCTACACTCCTGCAATAGAGAAAAAAGCGTTTAAATATATATATATATATATATATATATATATATATATATATATATATATGTATATATATATATATATATATATATATATTTATGGACAGGAAAAATAATCTTATTACTAAATTGCTAGTAAATTACCCTAAAAGTAGATTTGAAAATAAACAAATTCTTATTGAATAATAATTAATTGATTTGCAATCTATGTTTAGCATGCAGTAGGGATAGATATTCTTATATTGAATCGTTTTTTAATTTTTTTTCATAGACTATTTTCAAACATCCAAATTTTATCGATAAAAATGTTTACCATATATCTGCTCTGCTTGTGTAGTTTCGTATTACGTTGCCTTCTGTATAAATCACTTCTGGTGCCATGTATCGCACTGTCCCAATTTCTGTAGCGACCCCATTTGCATCAATAAACTCAGATAGACCAAAGTCTGTAATCTTTATTTTCCAGTCATCTTCCATAAGAACGTTGTTGCCTAGAAAAAAGGTTTGTATTACACACGATCAAAAAATCGATGTAACTTTTCATTACAAATTGGTCAAAATTTAATTGTATATTATTTCGGCAATGTTTTTAGTTATATGATTTTATTGAAACATGGCAATAGAAAAGCAGAATATTTACTAAACTTTTATTGAAAATTTAAATATTTATAACGAAAGCCTCCCTTTTTACTCTCCTTTCTACAGAGCTTAAAGAAAGAGTAATAATTATGCTGTTATTTGGATAGTTTCCGAGTACGAAGTATTAAGGATGTTTTGTAAAACTTTGACGTTTTACATCCTACCGGATACGGAAATACTTTTGTCCGTGTGTATGTGTACATGAAAACTTAAGTACCGTTTCAGTTATGTTGAAGGCATTTCATATATAAATATTATTTCAATGTCAGAGTGTTTTGTCAGCTTTTGAGAAACTCCTATTCACCAAAAGCAATACTTACCTTATTTTAGGTTACTCAAACCCAATATATAGAGCAGCATTTAAGTTAAGTAGATGACATTTCACATATAACTATTAAATAGTATGCCCTTGTTTCTATCAAGTTTTAAATTATTTCCGTTAAACGGATTTGATACTGTACTTTATTGCACGGGAACTCAAAAAATTAAGTACTTTTTTACTTAGATAGTCAGCTATACAAATACATATATGATATTATTTTGAAATTATGTTCAATTAGTGATTGCCCTCCGACAAACTAAAGTGGCACTTTGCTCTATTTCTAGTTTCTAAAACACCACTCAGTTACACACTGTTTTAGTTAGGTGGACGTGGGAAGAGGGTAGTCTTTAATATCACAATGCAGAATTTGAATAGTTAAGTGTCTTGTCAAAGTTTTCATCAAAATTACCTCTCTCTCTATGATATGCAACAAACCTTTGATATCCCTATGCAGAATATTATTCTGATGCAGGTACTCTATACCTTCCAGAATTTGAGTAGTAAAGTGTCGTGTCAACTTTTCATCCAAACGACCTCTCTTAGATATAAATTCTGCTAGTGTGCCCTAAAAAATGACAAAATTAGTTATTCATATCTAATAGAACTGACAACATTTATACTCTATATTACAAAACTCATTAAAATATTAAAATTAAATCATTTCATGTAGTTTTGCTTACATTTTTCAGATATTCTAAAAATATATAAAACTCATTATGTGTTTTCTTAAATCCGTGAAATTGAACAATTCGTCTGTGCTTTACTTTAAGTAAAATCGTTGCTTCTTTTTGACACATATCCTGAAAATCATTTTTTAAAATAATATATTATTATATATATAGAGTAATACATTCCTATTCAATTGATTCGGCTTCCTACAAATAAACTAGACTTTTCATTATTTAATTTAAATGAAGAAAACTATAGCCACTAGGGTTAGTGGAAATGTTTTGTTGTGATTAACTCTTGTTTTATGGACAGAAATATATGTCGCATGCAAAAACGACTATTGTAATTGAGCCTGCCTCTAATAAGTAAATATCATGTAAATGCTAATAAATTGTGGTTCTGGTTGTAGATAATAGACATAGGTCTCTGCTGTGTTGTGTGTGTGTGTTTGGGGGGGGAGGGGGTGGCTATAAGGTCTTCTTCTTCTTCTTAGTTCTAAATTTTTAATGTTGGAAGGGACCGAGCCTATCTGCCAGAGGGTTTGAACTCGAGACTTTTTCGAATTTGCCGACTCGACCACTCCTCCATCACAATTAAGGATACGTGTCAACTGGTTATGCGCCATTCAGGCCATTGACTCCGATTTCAGCCTGCTTTTCTTTTTTAATTTGCTTCCATAGCCTTTATCCAACCAAGAACACACCACAAGGCAGCAGTTGTTTGATTTTTTGGAGTTGTCTCTCCTAGAAGAGTGGCTGTCCCCAGCTAACGAGCCTCATCTGCCCGATTAGGTAAGGTGATACACTTTCACAATCGAAAACGTATATTAAAAACTGAATGTAAGCCATTTAAAAGTTATTTTACAAATGAAATAAAAATGAGCAATATATGTAACGTTGATGGGGCTTAGTGAATATTTTCGAATTAAGTCTCTTTTTTAAAAACAAAAATACAACTTAACAAAATGGGTTTATCATATTTATAGGCCTAATTTAATAAAACATAACATGTTGCTACTGATTAACCCTTAATTTATATTAAACTAGATTGCCCGTCCCCGCGCGTTGCCTATCTTACTTTTAAAACGAACTTGAGCGCTATGACGCATACGTTCGTTTAAAACTTTGCGATAGGCTATAGATGAAATTGGGCATTATTGTCGTTCACTAACTTGAATCAGACGCGTCTCTGATCGCCCCGGCAGGGTAAGATTTGGCGATAGGATATTCTATGAGCATTATGGCACCTACGTTATTTTGAAAGAGCACCCTAGAATATTGACAGGGAGGCATAAAAACATTTGATGATGAAGCCGAGCAAGGTTTGGTACGCGGCGCCACTTTGGTAGTGTAACATGGGCTGATAGCGCTTCACTGCGTTCCTCACTATTACGGACAGTAAATAACGTACACTCGAGGCTGTGCAAACCAGTGCCCCTACATACATGATCCTAGAAATATAACGCGGGCATTGTTTACATTTTAATAACTTAGTTTTAGAAAACAAGGCCACGCATCAAGGAACATATGATTGGTTACACTTTGTTAAAACTATCTTAAAATTTCGTCACTCTTTGTTCTAAAGTAGAAAAAAACACCTTTTTAACTATTTTCTGACAGGCTTTGCAGCTATTGTTAATATAATTTACAGTTCATAAACCAGGTAACATACTAGGAAACTATCCCTTTTTTTAAGTGACGATTTCTTAGCAACGAATTTTTTCTCATCAGGTCTAGCTTCATCAGTTACAAGATGGACGCTACCAAATGAGCCTGCTCCAATTTCTGATACATCAATTGTGAACTTTTTCGGGAATTCTTCAGATAGGACAATATCTGCGAAAAAAAATTCCATTAATTTATAAAATCACGGAACATAGGTAGTATGTTTACCTCTTTTGTTATAATAAAAAACGATAGTGGTTGGCGTATGGTGGAAGCTATATTGTCTACTTTTTTAAAGAAAGAAGTGAACAGTGTGGAAAAAAAATTAAAATGTAGTTCATTTCAAATACTTTTCTCCTTTCTTTCATAAAGCACACAGCGTCATTTCAATATACACATTCTTTAAAGTTTAAGAATCTAACCTCTTTTAGTAGGCAAAGTTCCAGTACTTTGGCCTGATCTCCAAAATATTGAGTTAGCGTTTGCTGAAATAATTTCGTCTTCACTGGTGGTTAACTGCCCTAACATGTCATTGAATGTGTCGTCAAATAAAATTCTTTGGCTGGCCTGCATGCTCCTACATAACTCCTTTAAACACGCCGTCAAATTTCTCTGTTCCGAATTATCTTGAATAGCGAGAATTTCTTTAAATCTTGGAAGCAATGGAAGTATCTATAAGATCGTTGTATTATTAGTATATGCGAGTAAACATATACAATTTAAAATATAAATGCATGAATATCAAACAAAATAACCATCCTTCCTCATTACTTACACACATTATCACAATGAAGTGTATGAACAGAAACATAATTATTAGTTATTCTATAGTAAAGTAAATAAGACATGCCGATTTGAGATAATATTTTAATAATTATTAGTTATTCTATAGTAAAGTAAATAAGACATGCCGATTTGAGATAATATTTTAAGGGATACGCGATTTTGGTTGTAAAAACAAAAAGCTCGATTAAACACGTTAATGGCAGATAACGAATTAATAATTCATCGGGCCAAATTAAAACTAAATAACATTAATGTAAAATTTAAACTATGCAGTGGTAAAACAAATGTAATAATACGTCTTGAAATTCATCTTCTCCTTCTGCCAGTTTAGCCAGACATTTCATAAGACCACCCAGTTTTACACCAAAATATGTTCTACTTGGATCCATAGCAGCTAAAGTAATGCCTTCAATTATTACTTGTTTTAGTTCAGCTGTACAGACAATGAAAATATTTTGATTTAAAAATTGGAGACTTAAAAACTATGAATAAACTCTGTAAACTAAAATACTAAACACAAGATATCAACGATTAAAACAAATTAAATCAATTTTTTAAGTGTTTTGTTTCATGCTTTTATTTTTCTTTCATTTAAAAGCGTCCCGAAATGTTTTTATTTGTATTTTCCGTGCTTTCAAATTTTCTAGGGCATGGTTAGGGTTAGAGCACTAGGTGCGGCGAAAGAAAAAAAAGCCTTTGACTACATGAAAATAACATAGCTTTTGCTGTGTACATTAAGAATGTATCACATTTTGTTTAAGTATACGGTAAAAGCTTTTTAAAACTAATTTTTTCAAACGAATGCAATCTAAACAACCGCACGTACCCATGCATAGATAATTTAAATATAAGTTTACAAGTAAATATATTATACCTTTCTTCTCATAAGTCAAATTTTCACCGATCAAGGCAAGTAAAACGTGTATACAAAATGAGACTTTTTTGTTACTAGATTTCAAATTGATGATTACCTTGTGAGAAAAATATAAAATTTGTGTGTAAAATGTTACATTCAGAAATACATTTTATGTATACAACACAATAAAAAAAGACATTCAACAACACATTAGACGATAATAAGATACTTTGAGCAAACTAAGAAAGTATAAATACATCTACGTAGTTAATTTTAGATTTCATAAAATAATCTTTTTTTTTCAATTTTGTTTTAAACTTTTAATGCTTGTTTTAAAGTAGAGAATACGGTTTAAATGAGCCATAATCATAATCAAGACAATCTCTAAGGGGCACTCAAAACTGTACTTAAAGCTACAATTAAGACAAAATATTATCATAGAAACTAGGCGCCGAAGCTTGTATAGTTTATATACATTGTCTATGTAATACATAGACAAGGTTAAATGGAAAAATGTTTATGTATAAACTAGGATTACACAAAACTTAAAACATGACTTTAAAACCTGATACTTGTAATCTCAAAAGTTGTTGGATCAAGATTTAAAAAAGGGACATTATTTGTACTAAATTACAATATATATATATATATATCTATCTATATATATATATATATATATATATATATATATATATATATATATATATATATATATATATATATATATATATTAAACGAAGCACAGCCTCCTCAATTCTATTTCGCTGAGGCGGCGCCCCGGCACGTAGCGATTTTGATAACTAGCTATCATGTGAGCACCATGGCGCCTACATTCTTTTAAACAGCGCAATAGACTATGCGTAAGATGGCGTCCCGGCATGGTGCGATTCAGCATCCCGGGCTATCCTGTCAGCGCCTTCGTTTGTTTTAAAGAGCACCCTACTATATTGACACGGTGGCACACGACATTTGATTCTGAAACCTAAGTAGGGGCCTTAAGGTGCGCTCTTGCGGTAGTGTACCATTGGCTCTCGAGAGCTCTCATCTTCAATTCTGACACATGGGCGGTCGCCAAGTGTGTTCTATTTCGCTATAACGTAGAGTAATTAAAGTGCACACCAGGCTTTTTAATTGTCAAAAGGGAATACAATAATAAAATTAAACTTAAATAATATATCTACTTTAACTGGCGATCCATAATCTCATCAATTTCTAGCAAACGAACTTTACTTCAAATAAACGGCAAAAATAATTATTTATTGACCCTATCTTAATCTCCTTCTTACAAGTTGGGCAAATCAAGCTAAGTATCTAGGTTGACTGCTCGCGCTAACTAAAGCCTCTGCTTTTTCTCCGCTAACTCTTTTTTGTTATCGGGTTCTCGTTGTTATTTGTATTTCGACTGACTATACGTTATGAGTCTCTATAACCTATTTATAATCTGAGTATTCTTGAGAATGAAAATTAAAAAAACAGTTATAAAAGATAGCCATAACAATAACTTAGTAGCTTTGAGTTTTGAGGTAAACAGTATTCGCATTTAATCAACTGGTCGTTACTGGTGTTAGGCACACATTTTTTAAATCTATTAAGTTTTTTGGCACTTTATTTTGGGAGCTAAATGTAGTTTTATTGTTTCTGAATTGCGTTTGATGAAGGAAGAATATTTTCATATTATTGTTAAATAGATTTTTAATTTTATGAGGAAACAGGTTGACGCATAACGCATTACTGGCATTTCACGAAACGTATCTGTATCTTAATTAAAGTGTTTACAAATAATCTTATTTAGAACAAGCATTATAAACTGAGGTTACGTGGGGGATAGTGGGGTGAGAAGGCAAGAATTAAGAGTGCTTTTAGGGAAGTGATGTTCAGTTACTTTTAGACCAAAATTTGTGATATGCTATAGGCCTATTTCTCTGCATCCAAATTGTTCGTTTTATTGCGGTCAGGGTAAGTTTTGTTACCGGATTAATTATTTGTTTACGATTCGTTTATTTCGAATGGCAAATAGGCAAATCGTCTGTTTTTGGAAATAAAAATAAGCCGTTATAAAATAAAAGTACCATTACAAAAATTTTTAGAATGCACTATGGTAATCATCCTAATATTTAATATGCATATTAAAGAATACATTTTCAGATTAATATTAGGATTGGATTTACATTTTATTCAAAGAAATGAGGCAGCGCTGTTCTTACTATCAATATATAATGCATTAAAAAGTTCTTAATTAAATTTTAAATTAAATTTTTAATTTGAATGTTTAATCTATAAAAACTAAAGTGTAAACTCCTAATCGATAACAAGTATATCTCTCATAATACACATTGCTCACCTCATCAGTATTTGCATTACGAAAGTAGTCAATTCTTTTCGTTTGGCAAAAAAAATTGTATAACGTGTGCAAAACGCTATACAGAATAAAGTTCGTGGTGGTATTCTGGTAAAAAAAGATGTTTTCAAATATAGATTATTTTTACGTTGACATTAGACAGGTCTATTAAATGAATGTAATTAAAGTTTATTTTTTTATTTTAAAGTTTACCTGCAAATTACTTTGCCTGTTTAGACAAGCTGTCAATATTTCAACAATATTTAATTCGACCATACGCTTTAGAAAAAAATGGGATTTAAAAAATCATTATTATTAGACATTATTTCAAGATTATTGATTATTTCACTAAATTGATGAATTTTAAATTACGTAATTTTAGGAAATTTTACAGCACTAAAAAGTATGAAAACAATCGAGGTCACATAAAAAGGTTAAATCTATTTTACCAGACATATGGACCGCCAGGTTCTGAAAAGTATAGTACATTTTTATTTTTATAAAATTTTAAACCATTTATAAATTTGGCTTATTATCCAAACATCCTTACCTTGAAGATTTGATGGCACATTAAACAAACCAATCGTAAAAACAGCAGGAAACAAACTGTTAAGGAAGATTCTGTGACTGTTGTGTTCAGTAGATCTTCTTCAATTATGTATTTAACTGTAATCTCTGTTTATATATATATATATATATATATATATATATATATATATATATATATATATATATATATATATATACATTTATAAATACTACCTTATACCCGTGCTACACTACGGTGTGGATATGGATAATACCCCAGCGCACCACACTGACCGCGGGTGGGGGTCCCCGCATTGAGACGAATATTCCTTCAGCGCACCGCGCTGGGTAAGTGTTTCGGTAGCACCTGGGGTGTACATGATTATTCACGAAAATTAAGCTACTGTAAAATAAAGTGTCGCAATGCTCTCATGGACGCCCAGATATCCTTCCTGGAAGCCTGGAAGAAACTCTGCTCCCTTTCCCCATCTATTCCTCATTGCCGGGACTTGCGGCATGGTAGTTCCGCTCCTGACACTTTAAGCAATATGTGTACAATTTATTTAAGCAATATGTGTACAATTTAGATAATCATAACTTTATAATTGTTTAATATGTTAAGAATTTGATTTATAAATCATATTTAACTTTGACCTTTCATTTCCGCCAGACGTCTGCAACACTACAGGAGACAACAACAAATTCCGATCAAGGCTATATTCCGTTGAAACAAATTACTCCCGTGCCAATGCTTGTTATTACTCAAAGAAAAAATATAAAAGCAGAAAAACCTCTGACATATTTACCTTACCTACCGAAACAAAAGAAAAACTAGCACTAGCATTGAAAAAAAACATCAAGCACACCAAATATCCAAATGATTATAATAAAATCGGGGTTCCCTTCTTAAATTCCGGTAATCGTTTTCAAAGCATAATATAGTGACCCACGCGTTTTGTTTTAGTTTTTCAAATAGTAGTTTGTTGATATGTATTAACAAAAATCACATGTTTTCTCGTTTTTAGTGCATTATTAAATAAAAGTATTATATTAAAACATTTTTATACATTTGTTTTCAACTTTTCAACTTTTGGTTACTAAAATAAAGCAATTAGAACATGAGTAAATTGGAATTAAGACAAAATTAACATTGACATATTAGATTTTACCACAGTATTTGTACTGTAAAAGTAATTTCTGTAATGTTATTCTTTTGTGAAAGTATTCATAGTACAACATTTGGACAAAACTGCATAATATCCTGTGATAAACGTAGAAATTCACTGCGGAAAATATTCTCACAGATGAATATTCTTCTAACACTTCAGAAATACTGCTTAGCAGCAAATCCTCAGTTGGAATCTGGGGACAAAAGAATAGGAAGTGTTGAATTTTAGTTTAAAATTATCCAATAAAAATTAACAATAAATAGATTTGTAATTTTCATTTTTTTTTTCAAATGTTTGATAAAGTATTTCATTGTAAATGAATACTATAGGTTATCAGGCAGAATGTAGCATACGATATATAATATACGCCGTAAAGTCGTGTGCCATACCGTACGCCAGCCATTTCTATGGGCACTTTTTTCTTCGATAAACCTGTAGAAAATAGTCTTTTACACTTTTACAAGCTTTTACTTAGCTTACAATGTCTATAAATAGGTAGATTGCAAATTTTTAAAACTCAATTTTGACCTTACGTCTAATGCAGCGATTTTATTCAAACATTCGAAAGACAATGATATGTACTTGATATCTAATTAGATAGATAATCATACATTAAACTTTAACTTTATAAAATGTCTAACTTTGGTATCAAACCTTAAGCAATTAAACGATACGCCTGTTTACAGCGATGAACTAATGTTTTTGCCCTAGCATCAACCGCGAAATGAATAGAAGCAAATAACTGATTTTGCAAAGATTATACGCTACTTGTCGTGTTTTTAACGCAAACATTTTAGTAAAAGCTTTTGTAGTATTAATTTTCATTTAGAACGAATGACAAAAATGTGAAAATAAACCACATACAAAAATCTTTTTAATAGCATGGTTTTTAAAAGCACTGAGAATAAAAATCAATTCAAACTTGCTTTCTAAAATAAAAACTATATATGTTAGAGATCACATGATTTACAAAAGCTTTGTTTTTTTAAGAATGCACGTTTGTTTTATATTTTCTTATTTCCAGTGCATTATAAAGCTTGCTTGTTAATGTATTGGTTTTTATATTTGGTTAATGGTGTCCTCATACACATTTCTATTTATGCTTCAATTCAATTTAAATAATTATTTAAAGCTAAGTGGTTAACTGTCGGTTACGGCACTTGCCGCTGCCGCCAGAGTCATCTTATCCATTAAGCACTTTTGACATTGTGCGTAGGGCCTACGAACTTTTGGAGGCATAAGAAAGTTAGAAAACAAATATCTGAAAAATAAAATTTAGAGGTCTGCAAAATTCAGAAAGTGAGATAATGAGAAAATACATTTCTTGTATCCGACGACTAAACAACCCTAAAATATAAAAACCCATGAGTGGAATTCTCTCTCTCCCTCTCGCTGATGGTCTGTCAACATTTTTAAGTGACAATAATATCAGTATTTTCTATAATGTGTGTGGTGTCATCCATAAGTGACGTCACGCTTTTTTTGACAATTTTTACCTCCCCCCTCCCCTCCGTCGTCAAAAAAAGCCAGACCCCCTAAAATGACGTCACACCTCAGCCTATAACCCCCCCCCCCTCAAAATTGCAGTTGATTTTTTTTAAACAGCTATATTTTTTCCAAAATCTTGTCTGAACACTGTCAAAATAGAGTATTTTAATCAATTGTTATTACAATTTATTAAAAGAGTTTTCTAAAACGCAAAATAACGTCTAAAATTCGTTTTCTAGCATTGCTTTTTTATAATGCAAAAGTGTGAACTCGCACTATCTAAACCACCTCCTCCCCCTCATCACACACCGTCACAGAATTGAAGACCCCCCTCCCCCCTACGAGTGTGACGTCATTTATGGACGACCCCTGTAGAATGTAAAGATTCGTACTTTAGTTAACAAAAACCTAATGATAATACTGAACGTACAAAGGAAATTTTAATTAAAGACGGAAATAAAAATAAAGTCGAATGCGGAAGCAGACCTTTAATTATGCATCTTTAGGAATGTTTTTTTCTTCAAGAATGCTTTAGAGAAAATAAACATCCATATAAAGTATTGTTTCCCGTTAAATTTATTTCCAGGTAGATTTTTAGTACCGATTTAGAGTTTTCAGTTGAGATTTCGGTTTTGTGCAGATATATGCTATTTTTATTAGCTAATACATTGTTTACGATTAAAGTTATGTTCTTAACAATTCTATTTTAGTCCCACTATCGACGTCACAACAACTAATTTATATCGCAGTTACACAGTAACTCTGTTCAATTTTGACCATGACTTTGTCCTTGTTGAGAGACAACTATTACGTTTTTACTAATTGCGGCGTTGGAAACTTTCCTCTAGTTACACACACATACATATTATAAGGGGCGGACCTTAGTGCATCCAAACCCCGAATTGCTGGGGTGGGGGAGGGGGGGGGGCAGGCTATTTCGGGGCTAACTGCCGACCATAATTTTTTTTTAAATTTAAAACTAATAATTTTCGTGCTTTTTTTTTACTTGATGGTTGTTTTGTAACAAGAATACTGTAGATGCTGTTGGATTATCTTTATTCTATAGACAGTATATCACGAATGTGTATATTCTTTTTCTCTTTGTTTTTAAACCATTGTAAAAGCCGAGCAACCATCTTTCTCCTACAATCAAACACACGCAGTTTGTTAATTTTTAAAATTGAAAAATCCATTGCTCGAGAGGCCGCTAGATATTCAGACAACAATAGGTGCTTCTTTATAGCGTAGGTTAGTGCCCACATTTCATTGAGATTTTTTAAAAGTAAAATGTACGTTGTTGTATTGTTAGAGCTAATATTCTATACTATAACAATCGAAAATAATATAATAATAATAATTTCGGTTTTATACACGTTTACTTCTTTTTGTTTTACCAAAAATGTGTAAGTATACGTGAATACAAAGTAACAGTTGTCCTGTTGTACCATTTTTACCTCGTTTAGTAGGTCTAGTGGCCATAATTATACGAAAATCGCAGTATTAAAACACGTTATGAAACAAGCAATAAAAAGGAGCTATTCGCTACAATATAGGCCTACTAGTTTTCTTAGTTCTTAAAATTTTAGCAAAGAGTACCGCCTTCATCCACCCGCTTCGACGGTATTCTATTTTACTGATCAGTTAGAGATACAAGAATCCGTAATAATTTTAAAAAAAAATGTAATAATGTGATCCAGGCAAGAAGTATTGCAATCAAGAAAAAGTATCTGATATCTAATGTCAAAGTTGAGAGAATCGTAAAAATTGGACAAAGAACAGGTCGTGTTATTTCTCTAAAAACTTGGCTAGTGAAATCGTACATTAAGCGTTAATACAATTAATTTCTATTCGAAGTGTTAAAAGATTTTTCTAACCACCGTTCCGGTGTAAACCCAACCTATTTACCTTGGCAAAAATGCGCCCCCAACCACCACCATTTTCTTAATTTACTGTTACACAAATATACAAATGGTTTCTTTTCTACGCGTTAAAGAACTAACCTATCACCAATCCTTGATTATTGTTGACGAGAAAGCTCTCCCTCCCCCTCCCCACTAACTTGGACAAAGTTGGTAGAGCAAGTTTGTAACGTTAATAATTCTTTTTTAATGTTACACAATCATACATAAGTAATCTTACATTAGTAAAATTTCTTTCCTAAGTGATAACGTTTATCAAACACAAATTTTGGGTAAATCTTCTGATTTTAGTCGTCGAAAAAATGCCCCACCCTCATTTTAAAAAGGCTGGAAAGCAGTTTTAGGGTCACTGCTTCTTAAGGGTATATGCTTTACAGTTACACAATCAATGTAGAAAACAATTAAATCAGTACGCCAAGGCTTGTAGCCGCTATTTTTCTTAACTTTGACTGTTTATAATTCAAAACTGCAGTTTAAAATGAGTTTTTATATTTTCTTTCTACCCCTTTTCTACCCCGCCTCCCACCCCCTAGCTAAGCATCTACTTACAAACTGTTAGAACATAATATGTTTTGAGAACTGGTACCAATGATATACATTTTTGGCGTTTATTTTATTCAATAAACATACATCAATTGCATATATTAAAAAGAAAATTGCCAATATACCTTAGTATGCAGCTTGTTCAAATATGTAGCTAAAAAGCTGATCATTGACCTGAAATAAAAGACATTCATCTAGTTACACACACAATATAATCTAACTATTTAAATGTCGTTATCATCGGAAAGTTTCTTGATATTAAATATTTAAATATCTTCAAAATGGCATGTAGTATTTTTACTTTCTCGTAGATAAAGTATTGTAATCTTTAAAAGAAATCTACATTTTGTCATATTTCGACGTTGTACAGAACAGTATCTTAGTCTATATATATATATATATTTTAAATAACGTTAGTTTACAACTTTCGGAACCAGAAAATCTTTGTGGTAAATATCGTTTAAGCTATAGGCTCAGTAATATGTCAAATTTGTAGATTCGTTCCAACATTTTAGCTAATTCCGGTCGACCATAGCGTACTTATTCTATTTCCGGTTTCTATAGGGTCATTAACTTGAGTATTGTTTATGTAGGATAAAATTCACATGAATGTATAACGTACTCGAAGTTTTCTATCAAGTTATGATACCTGTTCATTCAAACCATTGGGTGCCCATGTACCAAATTTAAGTATTAGTCGCGTTTCAGTGCTAAGACGATTTTTAAAATTGTGGCAAAACAGAACGGCGGTTACACAAAAGTCCTTTTTTATGTCATGTCCTCTCTTGTTAAAGTGTTTGGCCACAGGAAGACTGTCTTCATTGTTGATTGAACGCAGGTGTTGGCTAACCCTGTCAGACAATCGTTTCCCCGTTTGTCCAATATAAAAGATGTTGCATCGCCTGCACTGGATGACTTAAACTACGTTACGGGGCTCACAGGTGAAGTGATTTTTAATTTTGAGGGTTCCCTTCGGCAGCTGGATTGATTCAACCTGAAGGGTGAAATGACAGGTATTGCATTTACGGGGACAAGGAGTGGTGCCAAATCTGGTGGTGATAGTGGGTGGAAGGCGGCTGCGAACTAAAAGTTCTCTAAGATTACGTTCCCTTCTATACAACACCAAAGGATTCTGTTGAAATAAATGGCCTAATTGGGGGTCTGACTTGAGGATAGAATACTTTTTGTAATGATAGTTTTGGAAATTGTTGAAGGGAGGCTTGGTGGTCAACAGTTCTTATGCGGTGACTGGAGTATATCCTCTGGAGTATATCAACAAGTACCAATCTCCACTCCTAATGCATATGAACGTAGGCTTTTTAACCAGTTAAATTCTAAATACTCATTTCAACAAATGCGCTTAACCATCCAGCATTACAAACGTCTTAACTCAACATTAGATAAGAGGATAGCATCCTTGGAGCAACTTCTATACTCACACACATCATGAAACCTACAACTCTACAACCTTATACGCTGCATTATTCACAAACTCAATCGAGATTTTTATTCCTACCTGGTGAAACATAAAAATAAGAAGCTCAAAAACCTCTCTCCTACCCCTAAATAAACCGACGGCGAACAGCCACGCCCCTTCCGATACAAAAGTGGTCTACATACCTGACACCATCCCCCTCTCGAGTGATGAACGATCTGTCCTAAATAAAGGCTTGAAATTTATACCCCTGAGGCCAACCACTGATAACTATTTTTAATGTATACTCTCTAACATCTACGACCAAGCCTGACCAATGCTATCAATTTGTATGTATAATTTCTTTTCAAACAAGATTAATATTTTATTAAATGTTGGCCTAAGGATGAACATTCTAAGTTAAAACAAATATTTTAATTTAAAAGATGCTGATTATCGCTCTGTGTGAAATATGAAATATTTACATCGTAATAGTCACTGCATTGTTTCATCAACAGGTAAAAACAACTGGTAAATGTGACATTGACCATTTTAAGAAAATTATTATTGAACTCAAAAATAGAAGAAGAATAGGGTGGGGTTATTCTAAGTAAATACTAGTTGTGAAAAATTCTAACTATACAAGTTAACTTACAATTTACATTTAATTAAAGTATAGGTTTCATAAAATAAAAGCTACCTTTTTATTTTTTTGAACAAGTCTTGATTTAGACTATTCACATTTAATTCTGGTTTTGTTTTCCAAGAAGCAATTAATGTACTACTGTTCAATTCCTTACCTAAAAGATAAAGAAAAAAGTTATTTACTCAAAATTATTCATTTAAAATCTCATATTGCTAAACCTGTTAGGTGTATAAATGCCCCAATTCCAATTTAAAATAAAATAAAAAAGTTTAACTTTCAGATGTAGATTTCGCGCAACTTAGTGTCAATAGTTAGCTTAAAAAACAATGAGTAAGCAATTCTTTTCTAGGCTTGAAAGACTGGTTCCAAATGGTTCAAACTGTGTGTTGCCAGAAAGCATGTATTTCAACCAAAATTTAATATTTTATAACATTTCAGAAATAAGTACAAAATTACTTTCGGTTTTACTAAGGCTAGAAATATTAAAACAAATAATTACTAGTAATATAAAACTAAATGTAGCTAAAACTTTTATTTAAAATTTTGATTAGTAGAGTCAGGGTGTTGTGGTGAAAGGGGATGCTATATTATTTATTATTAATAAAATACTAGACTATACCCAATCGACTGCTATATTGTATTATATCATGAAAAATCAATTGTTGTGACTTTCAATGTTTTATTTAAGCTGGTCACTCCGCTTGACTTCAAATGCGTTTTTTTTTTAATTATTTGAATTTAAATTTAATCCTGCATAGCTTTTCAGTGGCTTATATTGGTTTGTATATTTAGCTCTATATAAACATTTTGCTATTCCGTCACTCTACTAGTCTGACAAGAACGATCAAGAGAAACCACAAGGAAAATAAAATGGGTTATTGGCATGTTAAATGACGTCACATGAACGAACAAGGAATCAAACAAAACGAAACAATGTTTAAAAACCCCCAAAATACTCAAAAAGAAGTGTACCATTAATTGTTTTCTTAAAAAACAGATTTAAAAATCGAATTCCGAAAAGAAACACCAAAACGTAAAAAAAAATAATGACTACCCTAATAATAGAGACAAAACAATATCTAATTTTATAAGTGTGTGTAGATATACAAACAAAAATACCTGAAAAATAAAAGATATAGTAAGAGTGAGTGTTAGGATTACGGTTAAAATTTGGGGTTATTATGAGTTTTATTTCAGCTTAAATTTCCGGATGTTTAAAAATATCTCTTTAGAATAAAGCTTCGTTCCCAGTTAAATGTCGGACCTATTAAGGTTCCGAATTCGGTTAAATTGCAGGTTGCGGTTAAATTTCCGTTTGAGTCAAATTTCAGTTGAAGCATAAAGCTCTATTTCGGGTTAAACTTCGTTACCGGATAAATTTACATACCCTTTTTAAGGTTGTATAGCGTTTCAGGGTAAAATATTTATTTCCGATTAAATATCCGGTTTAATTTAAAATGCCGTTTCCGAATAAAGTTCCGTTTCAGATTAAATTTTTCAGCAGCTAAGGTACTAAATTTCGGTTTCAGTCTAAATGCCAAGATCTGGTAGTAATCCCGATTCTGGATAAAAATGTATTTTAAAAGAAATTTTGTCTCCGTTTAATTTTCCGTTCATAATTTAATTTTCAACAATGCCGATTCGTGAAAAAAAATATGTTCATTGAAATTTCGTTTCCAGGTTACTTTCCGGTTCCAGTTTAATATTCGGTTGTGATTAAATTTTCTTTTCGGTCAAAATTATTGTTCCGGAAAATTTCCGGTTCTGGATAAAAGTTCTGGTTCTTGTAAAGGTTCCGACTTCAGTGTAATTTTCTCTTTCAAAATAACCTTAAAATGCTGGAGAATTTTAGGTTTCCATTTCGCAAAGGTTTAAGTTCCAGTTTGGTTAAAATGTTGTTTCCGGAAAAGATTCATATACCGGTTATAATTCGAGTATGAATGAAAAACGGTTTCGATTAAAGTTCAAGTTCCTAAAAGAAATACTTCTCAAGTAAAAGTGATATATCCATAAAGCCTTCGTTTCCGGTTACATTTCAACTTCCCGGTTACTGTTTGATTTCAAGTTTCTTTTAAATGTCCCTACTCAGCCTAAATTTTTGGTTCATATTGAATATCACTATCCTGTTAAAGTGCAGTTTAGATACTATTATTATGTCGTTTGAACTGAGCTTTATTTTTAAGTTAAGGTGGGTATTTTGGTTTTGGTTTCGGTTTTGAGAAAAGAACAAAACTATAAACACGGACCAGTTGTGCTTCCCCATCAACGGGCGAATTTCCTATCATATGTGTATGTTGGCGTTGGCGTTTGCGTTGCCGCTTGCGCTTGCGTTAGGTTTAGGTTTAGGTTTAGGTTTAGGTTTAGGTTTAGGTTTAGGTTTAGGTTTAGGTTTAGGTTTAGGTTTAGGTTTAGGTTTAGGTTTAGGTTTAGGTTTAGGTTTAGGTTTAGGTTTAGGTTTAGGTTTAGGTTTAGGTTTAGGTTTAGGTTTAGGTTTAGGTTTAGGTTTAGGTTTAGGTTTAGGTTTAGGTTTAGGTTTAGGTTTAGGTTTAGGTTTAGGTTTAGGTTTAGGTTTAGGTTTAGGTTTAGGTTTAGGTTTAGGTTTAGGTTTAGGTTTAGGTTTAGGTTTAGGTTTAGGTTTAGGTTTAGGTTTAGGTTTAGGTTTAGGTTTAGGTTTAGGTATAGGTTTAGGTTTAGGTTTAGGTTTAGGTTTAGGTTTAGGTTTAGGTTTAGGTTTACGTTTACGTTTACGTTTACGTTTACGTTTACGTTTACGTTTACGTTTACGTTTACGTTTACGTTTACGTTTACGTTTACGTTTACGTTTACGTTTACGTTTACGTTCACGTTCACGTTCACGTTCACGTTCACGTTCACGTTCACGTTCACGTTCACGTTCACGTTCACGTTTAAGTTTACGTTCACGTTCACGTTTACGTTTACGATTTTGTGTATGTTTATTTTCATGTAATTTTTGAATTAATAAAGTGTTGTAATCTCAAGCCTGCAGTCAGTTATTTATAACACAAATCTTACTGAAATGAATGATATTTTTATACGTTTTTATTTAACTCACTTCCTCGTCAGTCGTCAGTCGTCAGTTTTTTAGTTGTCAGTCTGTCTAGATCGAAACACCCGAGCGAAATTGCAAGCACTTCTTACTGACAGATACGGTTCGTAGTTGGAATGTGGGTCAAGACATAAAGACAATGCATCGTGACATTCTTTGACTTAATTGGTCGCCTAATAAATATTTTATGAATTAATTCAAATTTGGACCGAATTAATAGGCAGTTCTATCATCGCGGCAAAAGCGCGTCATCACATCCCATAGACGCGCAATGGTTTTTAGTCATGTAACTCTATTGTAAATAAAAACATGTAAAGTACTGAATATTTTTCATAGAAAAACGTTTTAATAACTAGTTTTTGTGTACTATGCTTATATGATTATAATGAAAAGCGTGGGCCTCTTCCTAAACATCACTAAAGGTATCCAATAGATACTAAAGTTACCCTCGCTTTTCTTTATAGTTATGTAAATAGTAGTCTTTAATTTTTTTTCTCCTTTTTAGTGCATTAGTACATAAAAGCTTGTTATTAATAGGTTTTTTAATGAAAGTTTTCGTCATTTTCTGTTTATGTTTAAAATAGTATAAAATTGTTTGAAAAAAAATATTTAAAAAAGTTACCTCTCTTGTAAATTGAACAAATGACGGAATCTTTGTTTTCTTTTTTTTTTCACAAACAGTTGCTATGCTTATATAAGACAATACAGAATCTGGACAATTTTAATGACCATCATAGTCTTTTCCCGAAGGGTATAAAGTTTTTTGGTACCCTCCAGGGTCGGTTAGGAGGATCGTTTTTAATTTATAGCTCATGTAAGTAAAATTTCACTCTTTGTCACTTTTTAGCATTCGCCTTGCGAGCAGAGGCTGACCGATAGATTATCAATAAGCCAATTTATTTACCCAGGTTTATGGAAAAAAATGAGCCAGATGCACAGAGCCAAAGTACTCTTTCGAAAAAAGTCATCGTTTTTCAGAAAATTAACAATGTTTATATACGGAAAATTCGGACCGGTCAGTTCTAACGGTCTTCCTTAGTTTTCCCAAATATATATCAAAGTGTTTTTTGCCACCCTCGAAGGTCGGTCTACGACCTCAAGAGTTATGAAACACTTTTTTTTAATATACAGCTAATATAATGCGCCGGTCAGTCAAGGTCAGTTTTGACCCCTCTTCGTGGAATCTTCAGAAAACCGGCACCGGTCCTCGTGTTCTATTGACCCAAGGCTGGTGTTGCAGACCGGACTACGATGTTGCCATACGATTGCTTAGTCGCAGGCGAATACGTTGCTGACACGATCGGGCACTAGCCAATAAGGCCGTCGTTTGTCTAATGGTATTTAATAATTCTACCCGAGTCAGCTACAGTGAAATAATCAACGGGACAGGAGCACTTAGTTTGTGCTGTTTATTAACTCGCTAAATGCTTGTTCTGCTGAGCGAGGCTTCCCCTAACAGCTAACGTCGGGAGCGCTTTTTGCGAGAGAGGGAGAGAGAGAGACTAACTAACCTGCCTGTATTTATACCCCTGTTTTAACCCCCTAGCTATTCCCACGCGACAATGGGATCAAAACCTGTGACCCAACAAATTATCCCCCGTGGCGCTAACAACCCTGGCTACTGGTCAGTATAAAGGCTACTATTGTCCTGTCAGAGCGGTCAGTCTCTTTAAACGTGTCACCTACTTTCCATCCCTACTGTGTACTCTGTATTTATTTAGTAAATGGATGTTTGTGGAATTCTGACCCAACATCTGGATCCTGCCAAATTTGACGCAACTGCGGCGCCGTGAAGTGCCCTGGCGGGTACCCGACAACTTTGCTCTCCCTCTTTCTCTCTCTCTCTCTCTCTCTCTCTGTATATATATATATATATATATATATATATATATATATATATATATATATATATATATATATATATATATATATATATATATAATTTTTTTTCTTCTTTTTTTTTTAAATTTATATTTATTTTTTTATTTAGTTATATATAGGAGCTGCATACCCATAGCTCGCAATGAACTTTTCTTAGTAAAAAAATATCAAATTTCACTAAAAATAATAGAAGAGGGTATATATAAAAAATATACCTGGACATAGCTTAAGAATTATTAAGGGCGCGGGACAGGTCTAGGGTAGGCTTAGGCTTATGTTTAGGGTTGGGCTTAGCTTTAGACTTAAGCGTAGGCATTGCCTTAAGTTTAGGGTAAGATAAAAGTTAAGAACTAGTGTTATAATTCACAATACGCCACACCACACACTAAGTAAAAACATTACACGGAGTAGATCAAAACCCATACCACCAAGTTTTATACATAATACCTAATACCGCACGACATAACAACCAACAACGTAGTGGTAAACTGTATGTGTCTAAATAGCCCGGGAAATAAATACCATCGGCCTAAATTTCAATAGATCATCTTTTTAATCAACGCGTGAGGACCGATGACTACAAAGTCATGTAGCTTAACAAAGTGCAATAAACAATAATCACAAAAAAGTAAAATACGAATAGTCAATTAAATGGACATAAACAATATCAAAGCATTTAGGCCTATTACAGCGCTGATCCATCTCTGTCTGACTACACCTCAAAGATTTGTTCAGGTGTCCCGGTGGCCCATTTCATACCCATGGTTTGGGGGGGGGGGGTATTGTTGGGTTGAGGTTAAGCTAGGGTGTAGTTAATGGTTTACTATCCTCCAAACAGTACTTTTAGATTTTCACACATATAAACTACTATTTCCACAATTTTACCCACATATACATACTTACATATTTTACGTAATTGATGAGCTAGATGTTCGACTTCAGTGCATACATTTGAATTTCCAGTCTCAAAAAAAGTCTTCGCTATATTTTCAAACGTAGTTACTTTCCAATGTTCAACAGCGATTAAAAAAATTTCGTATATTTTAATAAATCGTTTTCGCTGGGTCGCAGATGAAACATTTACAATTCTGGAATTTTCGTCCAAAGGATGTAATTCTTGCCATTGTTCCATTTTTAAAAAGATCTCTGCAATTACGTCATATCCATCCCTACATGCAATCATTAATGCGTTTTTTCCAAAACAGTTAATATAATTTATATCACACCCGCTGTTTATTAAGAATTCTACAGTTTGTACATTTCCGAATTCCGTTGCTTGCATTAAAGCGCTATATCCGTCGTCATTGCAGTGGTTTAAATCAACCCCGATTTGTAACAGCATTTCTACAATGTTTAAATGCCCTTTTCTAGATGCGCACAATAAAGGAGTATTACCTTTAGTGTCTGGATGACTAAAATTATTTATATATTTTTTTAGTAGTTCTATCATTTCGAAATTACTTTTTTTACGAGCAGCCGTTTTTGCCTCACATTTCTGTGCAGTTATTTCCTTGGTTATATAATAATATGCGCCATTTTCTAGTAATAACTCGACTATTTGTGTAAACCCATGTTCTATTGCAATAGTTAATGGACAATATCCGAGTGTATTAGGATGATTCACATCGACTCCAGCTTTTATAAGATAGTCAATAATTTCAAAATGACCATTTTTAGAGGCACGCATTAAAATATTACTTTCATCAATATTAGTATTGCCCAAATAAGCACTATATTCTCTTTGTAATTCAATCATTTTATAATTACCTGTTTTATAGGCAGCCAATACTGCGCCCAACCCCCTCGGTTTTACATCTACATTATTTTTAAGTAGCAAATCTAAGATGTTAATATGTCCTTTTTCGAACGCTATTAGTATAGCACTATCACCTTTATTATTTAAATGATTTAAGTTGCATCCGCTTTGTATTAGCAATTCAACAATACGAACATGGCCACGTGTACATGCGTTCATTAAAGCATTGTCACCTTCAATGTCAACAAAAGTTAAAGAAGCGCTGTATTTAATAAGTAATTCAATGATTTTATCATGACCTTTTTCACAAGCAATCATAACAGCATAACCGCCTCTCTTGTTTATGATATTAATGTCAGCTCCATGTTTTAATAAGAGTTCTAGGATTTTGTCATGGCCATAAACAATTGCAAATAATAATGGACTCCAACAATTTTCTCCAATGTAGTTTACATCTATCTCGTATTTAAGCAGAAATTCTAAAATGTCGACATGTAATTTTTTGCAGGCTATCAGGAAAGCATTATCTCCCTTTTTATTTGTATGATTTATTTGTATTCCATATTTTATTAGTAATACCACAATTTGTAAATGTCCACATTCGGTTGCACGAATTAACGCATTGTTGCCTTCACTATCAACACGTGTTATACTTGCACCATTTTCTATTAATAGCTCAACTATTTCGGTCAATCCTTTTTCTATTGCTAATAATAATGGGCAATATCCAAGGTCGTTGCTGTGATTTACATCAACTCCATCTTTTATAAGGTAGTCTACAATTTTAATGTATCCATCTTTAGCCGCATACAATAAAGCATTTTTGCCTTCGTTGTCAGTGCAGGCTAAATCTACACCATGTTTGGTTAATAATGTAATGATTTTATAATGACGTTTACTACAAGCAGTCAATAATGAATTATTTTCTTTTTTTTTAAATTGTTCCAAACTAACTCCATATGCCAATAATAGCTCGAGAATCTTGTCCTTTCCGTACACACATGCCGCAAATAAAGGACTCCAACCATTGTTTGTAATACAGTTTACATCTATATCAAATTGCAGCAGTAACTCTGCAATATCGACATATCCCTTTTCACAGGCGATCATCAAAGCTTTGTAACCTACACAACTACTATGATGTTGGACTGTCTTGTCAACATGTCTTAATCCATTCACATCTGTTATTAGCAATCCGTGTGGGTGATCCCCTGTCATTCTATACAAATCAAGGTTACATAGAGTTAGTAACTTGACAACACTGTAGTGACCCTTATTGCATGCAAACATTAAAGATGACCATTTGTTGTTGTTTAACCTGTTTACACCAGCTCCATGTTGTATCAGTAAATATACAATTTTTTCATGCCCGAATTCACAAGCAATCATTAATGAATCCAATCCATGTGTTTCAAATTGATTTAAATCAGCACCTTTTTTTAAAAGTAATTCTACAATTGTTTCATGTCCTTTCCAACAAGCAATCATTAACGCATTCCAATTGTCTGATTGCAATCTTTTAACATCCGCACCACCATCCAAGAGTAGTTCTACTATTTTATCGTGCCCACTTTCAGACGCAATCATCAATGCATCCATTCCATTTGTGTCTGTTTGATGTAAGCTTACGCCTTTTGTCATCAGAAGCTCTACAATGTTACAACAACCATTTAAAACTGCAATCATTAATGCGTTCCATCCACATGTAGTAACACGAGTATAATTTGCACCGTTCTCTAAAAGTAACTCTAAAACAGCATAATGTCCTTTCTGTGATGCAAGCATAACAACATCGAGCTCGTCTTTATTTACAATTGTTAAGTCTGCGCCATTTTGTATCAACAGCTTGGCAGATTTAGCATCGCCATTATAACAAGCAAGCATTAGAGAATCCCACCCTGTTTCCTCTAATTGCTTTACATTATCACCTTGTGTGAGTAACCTTTCTACTCCTGTATAGTATACATGTAACGATTCTGCCAATAGGTCTTCCATTTTATAGTGTCGGGTTAAAAATGATTTTTTTTTTGTACAAACATAAAAATATATCTTTCAGATAGGATTTTTTTTCATTTGACGATTCGTTACAGTTCAGACCTGCAATAAAAAAGCAAACAAATTGTGTTAGTTTCATTTAAGATTTTTAATTTACAAGAAAAGATGATCAGTGTCCCAAGTGGAATATTATTCTGCGGTTAGAAAAGAAGGATGCAAGCAGAATGGTGTGTTTTTACTTTAAATAATTAAAAATGGTCTTTACGTTATGATTGACGAAGGTTGTTGTGTTTTTGATAGTGTCAAGTGTCTGTTTTAATCGATTTTTTTGTTTCAGAAAAAACTATTTTCGCCCATTACCTCCCACTCTACTCCAAATGGTACACTTGTTTAAGGCGTAATATCATATTTTCTGTAATGATTATCCATGAAGTATTTACCCATTACAACAGATTGCATTAGTTGTCAACAGAAAATTCAATATGGCGACAGTGCAATGATAACTGTCATTATAGTTAGTTTGCTTTTCCGGCTTGCAAGCACGTGTATACATGTAAGATATATATATATATATATATATATATATATATATATATATATATATATATATATATATATATATATATATATATATATATATATATATATATATATATATATATATGTATATATATATATATATGTTTATATATATATATATATATATATATATATATATATATATATATATATATATATATATATATATATATATATATATATATATATATATATATATATTAATATTACCTAATACTTTTTTTAGCGCAATTTCCATTCTGGAAAATTGCGTTTATTAACCCGTCATTTCTGGATGTATGAATGAATGAATGGATGTGTGTCCGCAGCTTTAAGTCGTATCTCCTCCTCAACCAAGCAATATCGAGGACTAGTTCCAAAGCAATTATGTCAAGCAAGTTACGAGGATGAACATAGACCCAAAAAAATGCCGGGTTTCTTTCATGGATTTCCCGGAAAAGCCAAAACCCTCGAAAAAATGCAGTTTTTGTCCCATATCTCGGCAACCAGACAACTTAGCGACTTGAAACATGTACCAATCGATTCCTGTCGTAATTTAAAACAATATTGCCGAAGAAAGTTTTTAAAAATATCCTTTCGTTCGGTCACAAATTTTTTTTTTAATTAATTAAAATTTGGACCGAATTAGTAGGCATTTTTATCCGACCACACCACACGCGTCATCACGTTCAATAGCTGCGCCATCACGTTCAATGGCTGCGACATCACGTTCGGTAGCTAGTCGCGCAATGGTTTTTAGTCATGTAACTCTATTGTAAATAAAACATGTAAAACACTGAAAAAAAAATGATAAAAAACGTTTTAATAACTAACTAATGGTTTTACTAACCCTGCTCTTGATTTACGCTACGACAGAGCTATTTTTAGATAACATAAGGAAATTGCGCTAAAATTGTCACTAGACTTTTTAATTACCTTGTTTTACTATTTCTTTATCGAAATATACAAAACGACCATAGTAAAACATGTGGTGTGATTATTTTTACAGCCTGTTTATATTACAACTTGGCATACTCCCTAGCTTCGCTTAGGTTTTAAAAACAATTGAGAATTTGATTACTTAATTATTTAGTGATGGTTGAGATTTGGAGTGCTTATATTTAAACAGTAATGCTAATTTTAGAGAAAATGTTGTTGTTGTTTGATGTTTAGACTTCGTTTACAGAGAAAATATTGACTTTTAAAATTAATTAATTAATTAAATAAGGATACGTACCTTAATTAGCAAATTAATTTTTAACTGAAGCAAATGCAATACTTAATCATTTTCTGTTCATGTTTAAAAGAGTATACAATTGTTTGAAAAATAATTAATTTAAAAAAAGTGACCTTCCTTGAAAATTGAACTAATGACGTATGTCTTTGTTTACTTTTTCACAAACGATTGTTTTTTAGAAAATACGTCATCTAACGACCTTAGGTTTTTTTCGACGGGAATAATGTTTTTTTTGTTATCCTCCGGGGTCGGTCTACGACCTTACAAAATATTAGGGAGACCGTTCGTCAATTTTATATATATATATATATATATATATATATATATATATATATATATATATATATATATATATATATATATATATATATATATATATATATATATCATATTTGGAGAATTTCACTCGCTTTGAGTCTGACCAACAGATTTCCATACGGTCTAGTCATCTATAGAGGTGCATGCAAAAATTAATTAGACAGATATACAGAGGTTAAGTACCCTAAAATTTGTGTTGAAGTTATCGTTTTTCACATAAAACACATAGATTATATAGGGAAATACGACTGGTCAGTTTTGACCCATTTCCAGATTTTTCACGGATATGGCGAGTTTTTTCTAAAACCTCTAGGCGTTCTTCTACCACCTGACAAAATATCAAGGGGGGGGGGGTCGTTCGGCTAAAGTTTTTTTCGTAATAGAGCTCATATAAAGAGAATTTCACTCGCTATCACGTTTTAGCCCTCATCGAGAGCTTTCAGTTAAACCGACAGGTTAGCCCTACGGCCTAGCCATTTACCTAAGAGCATGCCAAAAATTATAAGGGTAAGTACCCTGAAATCTTTGTTGAAATTACCCTCTGTTTTTCACATAAACTACAAAGATTATATAGGGAAATTCGACTGTTCAGTTTTAATCCATATCCAGATTTTTCCAAGACACGGCGATTTTTTTATGACACCCCTAGGCGTTCTTTTACCACTTCACACAACTTCAAGGGGGGGGGGGGCGTTCGGCAAAATTTTTTATCGTAATATAGCCCATGTAAGGCGTCGGTCAGTCGAGTTTTGACCCCCTCTACGTGGACTTGTTGGCCAACCGGCACCGGCTCTCATAATATTTCGCCCCAAGGCAGACTCATGCCAAATTTGAAGCGCCTTTATATGTAATTGCTATATCTATATATAGATGCAGTGGGTTGCATTTTTATAGCACTCTAGTCAAGTGAGTACAATGGGCAGATCTGTACTAAAATATTAATATTTTGTAGCTACACAGTTTCTACAATAGCATCCTTTTACAAGTCAAAATAACTATATAATGCTAGCAAACAGCTCTTGAATCGATAATGGCTGATGATAATGATAATGAGGAGTACGATGTTCTCTTGGTTCCACCAGAATCTGCTGTTGTAAATGATGAAGAAGAAGGAAATGATGATGATGATGTTATCTCTTCAACTCTTCAAATAGTTGTAACAGGTACTATCAAGGTAATACCTCTTCATCTCGATCTCAATTATTCAGACCGAAACGGCGGGGATGATATACCACTTTTGTTGTTCGAAAATGTTTTTGTTGAAAGTGTAATGAACATGATTGTTGGAAAAGTATGGTGTACGCAAATTAAAATAATAGACATAGTTTTGAAATGAATCAAGCAGATTTGAAGACATTTTTGGGAACATTAATCTTAACAGATTATCATAAAGTGCCTACTAAGCGGGCTTGTTGGAATTATGAAAGAAGATTTTGGAATGACATTAGTGACGTATTGCATGCAATACCACAGATTTCAAGAAAACAAAAGAAACCTACATTTTGTTGACAATGCTCAAGGTACAAGATCGAATGATAAAATGTTGAAAGTCAGACCGTTGTGTAACCTTCAGAGAAACACGTATCAGTGGATAAAATACTTTGGGCACCATTCAGCCAGACATTTTATTATGGGAAAACCCACACGATTTGGTTATTGTAATTGGGCTTCAACAAGTTGAGATGGCTACAGCTACGCCTTTAATTTTTATTGCGGAAGTCCGAAGAGTTTTCCGTTGATCCTTTTAGTGCTAGAGCAGTTAAATCTCTTCTTGAAAAGTTTCCTGTTGTCCCAAAAAGAACATACCGTATACTTTGAAAACTTTTTTACAAACCTTCAGTTGTTATGTGAGTTGCACACAAGAAGAAACAAAGTAGAGCTAAGTACGATTACGGATTTGACAAAAAATGAATTTATAATTGTACGTTGTAAGGATAACATTGCTGTTGCTTTTGGATCCAACTTGGATCATGTAAAGCATGTGGGAAAAGTAAAAAGATGGTGTAATGCTCAGAAGCAAAATGTTGATTTTAATATCGCAAGACTTATAACAAATTATAATATTATATAAAATTTATTGGGCGATGTTGACCTAATGGATCAATCTGTACAGGGTGTCTATATGACGAAAAAATTTTGGGGGTTATCTTTAATTATGTACTGGATATGGCCATTTCTACTGCTTGTTGGCTGCATGTTCTGATTAGCAGGACTGATATTGCTGACATATATTGATCAGTTATCATTCAAATGAATATTTGCATAACCGTATTTACAACAGAAAAGTGCAAAAACTCATCCAAGTTCATCAAAAGTGGATAAAAATTAATGATGATCATAATCCAGAGCAAATTGAAAACCAATTGCGTTGTGTTATTTGCCATAGCCGGTTCCGCTGGCAATGTGAAAAATGCAAAAAAAAAACAAACAAAAAAAACAACTACACTTTGTGTTGAGCGACTTTGATTTGGGCATTTTTACTCCTAATCTGCCCAGTGTACCCAATTAAGTGCACCCCTTTACTCGTTTGGCTATATTTGATTATGTGAATTTCTCCGTTTTTTTTTGGTTTAATAAATGTTCTAATTTACTCAATATGTCAAAATAAATAACAATTAAAAGAAATATTTACATGTAATTTTCTTTTGGGCGTTAATGGGTTAGTTAAGTACATGTGTTGATTTATTTAAATATATTACATACTATATTTTTTTTAAATGTTGAAACGGCTGTGTGAATTATTTAATTGTAAGAGATATTTGCTTAATTAATCTATATATATAAAGCAAAGTGGTCAGGTGCCCGATAGGGCACTTTCCGGCGCCGCAGGCGCGTCAAATTTGGCACGATGGGGCCTTGGGGCGATAGAACACGAGGGAGAGGGGGTCAAAA